AAAAAACATCCCCATGTTGGTTTACAGATTTATTGGAACCCTGGATGCTGAGAATTTCCAATATTTTAGTTTTAACCCAACTCTTTTAGCCACAAGAGAATAAATATTGCATTTGACCTGAGAAGGCTTCCAAAATTAAATGATAGAGCTGAGATTATGGATTATGGGTGTGCAGTTTGAATAGAAGTGTATCATATTACAGGGTGGAAAACATAGAGTTTAAGGTTCATTATTATATATATATATATATATATAAAATCTATCTTATATAGCTATTATACATACATATAATATCTATATTATATAGCTATTATATATATATAAAATATATAGAGCTATAATATTACAATATAGGTTATAACTATCTTATATTATATAATATATAATTTATAGATTATTGATTATACATAATTTATATATTATATACAATTTATATATTATACATCATATATAATATAGGACATATTATATTATATATTATATACAGAATACATTAGATTATAATATATACACTATATTTAATAATATAGTATGTATGTTATTATATTAACATATTATTATATATTATTATATATAATTATACTACATATATTATATTATGATATAGCTATTATAATATTATAAAATATATAGCAATATAGCAATATAACAATATATATAAAGCATTATATATATACATATATACATATATATACATATATATACATATATATACATATATATATATATATACATATATATACATATATACATACATATATACTTATATACATATACATATAGATATCTATATATCTATATCTATATCTATATCTATACCTATATCTATATCTATATCTATATCTATATCTATGTTAAGATGCAGATTTTAGTGTTGTGGCTGCTTCTTCTCCTCCTCCATGGGTTTGGGTGGTTTTGTGTAATTGGACAGAAAAGTCTCAGCATTGTGGATTTTGGGTGGTTGCTTATTGGGTTAAAAGTAAAAATAATTTAGGTCTCATTTCTTAATTGGATAATTTAGCCTTAAAAGGCCTTGTAGAGAAAGATAGTTAGCCATTTTGTGGCTTGTTAGTAGAATGCTGTAGAACTCACAATTTGTATAGATAAGAAATAACAAACATTCGAGCCTGAACACAAAATACCATCTTCAATCCTGACCTTGACAGACATAGAAAATAAATTAAAGAATTGACACAGATTGATTCACATTTCTTTATATTTTCTCTTCCTATGTTTTTTAATATTTGTTTCTTGAATCACTGTGTTGCAGGAGATGTTGTTTATTAATAATTTATGGAGGTGATCCTAATCTCTTGGGACTGAGGAAGGGAAGAGGTTGTTTAGATGGTTATTATTTGTCTGTCTCCACAAATTTAAATCTGGGAGAAAACAGCATTAAATTCAGAAAATTATTTCAAAAATTCTGGTAGAAATGTGTATTTATGAAGAATACAAGAAGACAGCTCAGAAAATATAATTGCTTTGGGTGTAGATGCTATTACTGCCTTGGGAAGAGGGAAAAAGCATCCTTTTTAGCAGAGATGTGGAATCAATATTGATAAAGAAGAATGCTAACATGTTAATTCAATCAAATTTATTTCTCTTGGTGCCTTTCACTCGACAATTCTCTTCTAAGAATGGCACTAAATAGCTGTGCTTCAGTAGCTTTCAGTTGAAAACAGGTCTGAATTTAAAGAACACGTTATAAAAACTGTATTGCAGCGTTTAATATCAGCAATTGTAGCCAGGGGGGCAGTAAGAATGTTTTTTCCGTTCCTGGATGCAAATCTGTATCTTCCTTGAGAAACTTTTAAAAGACTAAACACAAAATTACATTGTGTTTATATAAAATGTAACCCAGGAAGGTGAGGTTTGTAACAGCAGCGTGGAGATGTGAGAAAAGGGAGGGAAATGGATTTTGTGGAGGTTGGGATGGGATGGGATCGATGGGATGGGGTGGGATGGGATCCATGGGGTGGGATGGGATGGGATGGGATGGGTTGAGATCCATGTGATGGGATGGGATGGAATCCATGGGATGAGATCCATGGGATGGGATCCATGGGATGGGATGGGATGGGATGGGATGGGATGGGATGGGATAGGGTGGGATGGGATAATGGGATGGGATGAGATGGGATCCATGGGATGAGATGGAATAATGGAAAGGGATAGGACGGGGTGGGATGGGATGGGAGGGATCCATGGGATCGGATGGGATCCATAGGATGGGAGGTCACAAACCTGACTCTCCAAGACAAAAACACCTCCAGCACCTACCTTGGAGATCAAAATCAGTGAGGGACGGGTTGAGAGCATCGATGTCATTGCTGAGGTCTCCCTCCTGCAGCAGCGTGTCCTGCACCGTCCTGGCCGGAGAATGCTCGGGCAGCATCTTCATCCCGCAGCTCGGGGGGCTCTGGGCCGGCACTGGCGAATCCTGAGGGATGCTGGGCTGAGTCCGGAGCTGGCTTTGCGCCTCCCCAGCATGGAACAGGCTCTGAGGCTCGGCCGTGTGCTGCAGCAGCGCCGTGGGGACCTGCGGGAAGCCCTGCGGGGACGAGAAGCAGCCGGGCTGCTGCCCCCCCAGCAGGGCGGGCAGGGGGCTCTTGGCGTGCAGCGCTGCCGAGCCGGGGATGCCGGGGAAGCCCTGCGGGATGCCCGAGGACAGCGAGGGCTCGCACAAGGGATGGGGCTGCGCTGCCATCTGCCTGGAGAGCGAGGCACTTGCAGCGCCCGGCGGGCTGCAGGGCACCAGCGGCGAGCGCAGCTTCTCGCTCCTGTCGCCTATCAGGGTGTCAAGCTCTTCTGGAAAACAAAGGGAGAGTCCATGAATGACTGATCCCTGCATAGCTTGCAGCAGAAATTGTGATGCTGCTCAGAAAATATCAAGGGAAAGTCCATAGTTGATTTATCCCTTCGTAGCTTGCAGCAGGAATTGTGGTGGTTCTGAGAAAATGGCAAGGGAAAGTCCATAGTTGATTTATCCCTGCATTGCTTGCAGCAGGAATTGTGATGCTACTCAGAAAATGACAAGGGAAAGTCTACAGCTGACTTATTCCTGCATTATTTGCAGCAGGAATTGTGGTGCTGCTCAGAAAATAGCAAGGAAAAGTCCATAGCTGATTTATCCCTGCATAGCTTGCAGCAGGGATTGTGATGCTACTCAGAAAATAGCAAGGAAAAGTCCATACTGACTTATTTCTGCATTGCTTGGAGCAGGAATTGTGGTGATATTCAGAAAATGATAAGGAAAAGTCCATGGCTCATTTACCCCTGCATAGCTTGCAGCAGGAATTGTGGTGTTAATCAGAAAATGATAAAGGAAAGTCCATAGCTGACTTATCTCTGCACAGCTTGCAGCAGGAATTGTGATGCTACTCAGAAAATAGCAAGGGAAAATCCATGGCTGATTTTTCTCTGCATAGCTTGCAGCAGGAATTGTGGTGGTTCTGAGAAAATGGCAAGGGAAAGTCTACAGCTGACTTATCCCTGCATTATTTGCAGCAGGAATTGTGGTGCTGCTCAGCAAATGGCAAGGGAAAGTCCATGGCTGACTTTCCCTGGATAACTTGCAGCAGGAATTATGCTGTTATTCAGGAAATGGCCAACAGAAGTTGCTAGTTCTTATATATTAAAACCTTCAAAGCCTGAAATTCTTAGTTGGAAGGGATCCACAAGGATCACCAAGTCCAATTCTTAAGAAAATGGCCCATACAGGGATTGTACTCACAACCTCAGTGATATCAGCACCATGCTATAACCAACTGAGATGTTTGCTTTTAAATTATTGTTGCCAAGTGAGTATGTAATAAATTCCACTTTTAAAGGTTGGATACTTAGCAGTTAATCTCAGATTTTATTTGATATTTTGTATTTCAGTGTTCTTTTTGTCACAGAGTGGTTTGGATTGGAAGGGATGTTGAAGATCCTCTCATTCCATCCCCCTGCCATGGGCAGGGACACCTCCCACCACACCAGGCTGTTCTAATCCCCATCCAACCTTGCTTTTTATCTTACAGAGATGTCAAGAGAGAATATTTTCTTGGTGAAGCTTGTTTGTGCTTATCTGTAAATTTCTACAAAACTAGGTCTATTTTAATTCTGATATTAATTTTTTTACTTGTTTTGCCAACCAGGAAAAATCCTTAAATATTTTCCTAAATAATATTTAAATTCTTTTATCAATCTTGGTGAACAGAAAAATTCTGGGGAGAGCTGTTTGAGAGCTAAAACAAGAACAAATGACTGACCTGGCTTTGCCATACTCTTCCTCACAGCAACTGGGTCTTTCCTCTTCCATTTCTGAAGCTCCTCCTGCATCTTGTCAATCTTGGCTGGATTCAGAGCCCACAAACAGCCCTTTCTAGAAGAATTCCCTGATTTGTTCTCAACCTTCTCAAAGCACTTGTTCAAAGATAAGTTGTGGCGCACGGAATTCTTCCAACCATCTGGAGCTGTCTGGAGAAACAAACCCAATGTAAGAACCAGCTTAAAAAAAAAATAAATTAAAAGCTAAAAATAAATAAATAAATTTAAAATGTATGTGTATATATATAACTGTGTTTTGACTGGTGAGGTTACAAGAAATGCTGTTTAGATCTGTGCCTTCTCTGCAGTGAGAAGCTTGAACGTTAGAGGGAAGCCACAAAAATGTTACAGTCATGTTGTGTGGGAAGAGAGGGATCAGATAAAATAGTAACTGATCTTCTAAGCAAAAAGGTTGTCAGAGACCTGCTGGGTCTCTAAGAGTGAATTTGCACATCACCAGAATTGTGTAAAAATTCATGTTCTAGAACTAACACGAAATCAGAATCTATTTTAGAACACCTAGAAATATTTCCAATTCTTCATTAAAGCACTTTGTGCCGCCTGGGCTCAAATTCAGTGTCCAGGCAGACTTCAAAGGGGGTTTTCATGCTACTGTAGGTGTAACTTTGTGTGCTGGCCAATTACATAACCAAATATTTCAATCACAAGCCCTCCAGATGAGATACAGGTTTCCACAGCTGATCACTCATCTCTGTGCTTTGCATTTACTTTTAACTCAGCAGAAGAAGCTGGAAGGTTCTTTAAACTGGGTCATCAAAATGATTATTTTCTTTTTGCCAAAAAAATCCTCATATTTTCTTTTCAATTCCTCATAAGGATTGCAGGAAATGAAACAGCTCTCTGAAATGAGGGGAGGTTGTCCATGGCTGTTAATTCATATTCATGGATGCAAACATTTGTCATCATAACTGTTTGTATCAAGTAGAGAATTATTCAACAGAGAACATGACAAATAAATATGGGTTTCCACAGTCTTTTTTATAATGTTAAAAATTAGAATTTCCCTCTTAGGTTCATTAATTTTTTTCCCCATTTTTACTTTTTATTACTAGGATCCTTCTCTCATACAAAGCCAGATTTTTGATAGTTTGATAATTTCTTTAATTGCTGCCTAGTCCATCAGAACTTCCTCTTAGACCATCTTTTATAAATGAATTTGAGCCCATTTTGGCTTTCACCAGGCAGACTGTGAATTTTGAACATACTTTGATGAAATTATTGTATCAGGATTTAATTTTCCGTACATGTTTTTATAAGGACTGTAAAACATGTTGTTTTGTAGCTTGTAAAGAACTATTGTGTGGATTAAGGCATTAAAAACCTTATTGATGAGATGAGGATCAGATTTAATACTCACTTTCTTCGTTAAAAAATAAATAGGTGTGGAATTAAATACATACTATTTACTAAAAGAGAAACTATTTTCCCTTCAGAGCAGCAGAACCTCTTCCATTTTGGCCCACCTGATGTCAGCATTTCACTGTTCTGTCTCATGGGTGAGACAACACAAACTGTAACAGGAGGGAAGAGAAGAGAAGAGAAGAGAAGAGAAGAGAAGAGAAGAGAAGAGAAGAGAAGAGAAGAGAAGAGAAGAGAAGAGAAGAGAAGAGAAGAGAAGAGAAGAGAAGAGAAGAGAAGAGAAGAGAAGAGAGAAGAGAGAAGAGAGAAAACCCCAAACCTTTAAAGCATTTTCTGCCATAAGATCACACTAAACACAACAAATCAGTTTTTTCTCCCTTGCAGATAACATTCAAGTAACTTTCTGGTGGTTCCAAAAGTGAATAAAGCTGTTCCTCCCAGGTGAATTGTGCATTTAACTACTGAACAAGCTGACCTGGAAGAATATTCCTGTTTCTTGCCCTGCACAGAGGCTCCCCACACCCCTGTGTACCTAGACAGGATAATTGGTGTTTCTGCTCAGCTGGGAGTGGCATGGGCTCCTCAGAGGCTTGCAGAACGTGTGGGGGTGTAAATTAGGAGATGGTTTTAGAAACTGTACAAGCAAAAAGCACACGGATTGATTTTGGAGGCTGCTGCCAGGAGCTGAGCAGGTTCTTGCATTAAATTCAGGATTGCTGAGCTGTGAGAATTTATTTGCCCAGGTAGGGATTAACACACTGAGATTATTAAGAGAAAAAAACACCAGTTTTTAAATCAGGTGTGATTGTAAATGAGCAAACTTTGGCTGCTGGGGCTGCTCCTGAGCAGCTGGAATCTCCCTGCTGTGGCTGATTTTGGTAATCACTGCATTCAGCAAGGGGGAGATGCGAGTGCAGGATCACAAAATCAGCTGGGGAATCCCAGGATCACAAAATCAGCTGGGGAATCCCAGGATAACTGAGGTGGGAAAAGCCCTCTGAGGGCACCAATTCCAGCCCCTGGCACTGCCAAGGCCACCACCAATCCATGTCCCCAGGTGCCACCTCCACAGCACCTGAGCCCTCCCTTCACACCTCAGACCTTTCTGCCCTCTCAGCCCAACAACTCCAATTAAAAAGATTAAAGCTTTCTGTTAGACTCACTAATCACTACAAAAAAAAAGGGGAGAAAATTATTGTCCAGCCCCACTGATCCTGACCAGCTCTTGAAGTTTAAAGAGTTCAGTGATCTTGCAAAACCCTTTCTCTTTAAATCTAGGTCTCAAGAGAAGGGAGAGGTACATCAAAGACTAATTCAACTTTAGCTGTGTAGATTTTTTTTTTTTTAGGACGTAGGAGTTGGATTGCTCTGTTTCAACTAGAAATGAGATTGTTGCATCATAGAAACTAAATTTGCTGTGGCAGCGAATCCCAGTTAATTTGACTCTGCTTGTATCATCCCAGCAAGGCTCTGTGTGCACTTGCTCTCTTTTTCTCACCAACCTAAATTTTTCCCCTCTCCCTGTTGTAGTTTGCTTTTTAGTGAGCACTGGTAGCAGCAGCAAAATGTTCTTTGCTGATTTTTATGGGGTTTTATTTTGCTGAAGAGTCTCCAAAAGCAGAGAGGATGGAGGATATTAAATTTTGCCTATATTGGTAATTCTCTGCTGTGAAGACCAGAGAGAGACAGGGATTCATGACTGTAAATGTAATATCTGATTGCTCATTCTCCCCTGGTTATTTTAAGGATGCTACAGTCAAGTACATTGGCTGAATTTGTAAGTAAAGTGCAAAATAGGAATTTATGGGTAGTACCTCCTGATCTATTCTGTTCCTACAGCAGTGACCTCATTCTCATCAGTTTTTAAATGAATTTTAAAAAATACAAAAGGTTCTGAAAAACCAGGAGGGACCAGGATGGTGACACCTGGAGGAGCCACAATCCTGAGTCTGAGGGATTCTGCCCATGCTGGCAGCAGCAGCATTTGATTTAAAGCTGCTGATTAATTTTATGATCAATTGTGTCATAAGACAACAGAGAATTAATTTCAGTTTGATCTGAGGAATAAACATCCACATGCCTGTAAAAATTATTAATAATATTCCCACCTCTCTGCTCGAAACTCTGGCTATTTTCCTGTGGATTCCCCTGGGATTTCTAATGGTAGATTTATTTTTTTTTTTCCCTTTTCTTGCTTGTAACAAATGATGGAGCACTTAGTGATTCCTTTGGGAGGAAATCTGGGAGTGTGATGGATCCTGACAGTTCTACCTCTGTGATAGTGTGCATTTTTCTCTGGTTACTGACATATTCAATCTTCTGTTTGTGTGTGTGTGTGCTCTATTTATCCTCAGTGTCCAAAACCACTGCAGAATTGTATTGGAACATTTATTTTCCATTATTCTCAGTGTTCCTTTATTACAAATGTTTGAACTGCCTTGCTGCGGCTGTTTGAAATTTGCCCTGAGGAATGGTCACTGTTGTACACCCAAGCTCACAGCTGGAACAGTTCTTAACATCTTCTTGAGTTAAATATTACCACATTTCACATTTCTGCCTAGGTGCAGAAGGCTGGGGAGCTTGTGATCATGGGAGTATGGAGTGTGTAATTGATTTGGTATGAATCTCCAAAGAAATAATCCCTTTTCATAGCTGGAATCCCATCCCTTACTCCCTCTCTCCCTTCCCCATCCCTGTGGAACTCACCTTAAAGTAAGGGAAGTGTTCTGTCATGAAATTGTAAATCTCACTGACTGGCAAACTCCCTGTCTTGCTGTTTTTGAGAGCCATGAAGATCAGGATGCTTTAGGGAGAGAAAAAAACAACAAAAAAAGCATTTTAGCCTCTTCTGCCTGGCTCCTCACAACCAAAATTAGATCATTTTTTGCACTGGGTGTAATTATTCTGACTTTCACTGTCATAGCACAAATACAAGGATGATTTTATGTTTCACTCAGTCAATTACAACAATCTCCTTAACTCCTACAGGTAATTCTCCAGGCTCATCTAGAAGGTCCAACCTGGGTTTAAAATAAAGGAACATAGAAAGCAAAATCAAGACCTTCAAATCCTGCTGGTGTGGAGTTATTGAAGGTTTGTTTGACTGGTGGAGGCCACAGAGAGAATCAAATTGACAGAGTCATAATTAAAATTTAATTATCTGATCTACTTTGGTGGCAAAACCCATGTGGTGACTGCCATAGTAGATAGGTTTTCAAGGCATTTCCTTGCTCAAGTAACTGGGGAAAAAATCACTTTTAATACAGAATAGACAACTCAGTATCACCAGCCTTGTGCTGATGAAATTCACAACACTTAAATTTTTTCCTTAGAGAAATGTGTCAATCTTTTTTCCTTTGGGGAGTGATCAAGACTGCTCCCCTGCTTTACAACACTTCATTTCTGTGTGCCTTGGCTGGCCCCAGAGCCTGGAACGTTCTGTGATCCACGGGGACAGGACAGAACAGCCCGGCAAGAAGACAAATGGAGCGAACGTGTTGCTGCAAACGATGCTGGAACAGGGCCAGGGGTGAACGGGGTATTTCCTGTAAGGTGAGGGCTTGGAAAAAGATTGGATTACCTGTAGGAGTAGATGGGTTTGGGGAACAGAGGCTGCTGACATTCTTGGCTGCTTTGAGGAGCAATCCTTTGGTAGGGGTAGTGCGAGGAGGCGATGTAAGTCACGGGGTAGCTGCCTCCTGAGGGGTACTGGGGGGACAGCAAAAATGTCATTTGTTTTAGCAAAAAACTCCCAAAAATATTCCCTAATAACAGCATTATTTCTGATACTGTATGGGAAAAAGTATTTTCTTCTTTATTTCTTGCTATGAGGAGCCGTGTCCTATTAATCGTCCCCAGATAATTTTTAATTTTATAGACCTAAAGCTTATCTCCCTCCAGCCATCTCTTTTGAAGTATCTCAGCCTGCTCAGCCTCCCCTGAACAAGCACACAAATAATGAATGATGTCATTTTATCGACATTAAAACCCCAGACCACCAGAGTAAAAATCTTCAGTGTTCATCTTATAAAAAACAGCTGAGGAAGTAAAGCTACTAAAAATGTAGGAGGAAACAGGGAAGTCTTGCCTGAGCCTTATTTGAGTTTGTGTGCTATATTTTTTTTTCATTTTTTTTTGGGTGGAGAGGGTTCAGACAAGGCAAAAATTGAAATCATATAATATTTGCTGCTAAGGGAATAGTATCCCAAAATCTCTGTTAAAATTGCTGTTACTGAGCAAGGCAGGGAAAACCCCAACAAATAACAAGAAGAACTTAAATGGATGCACCAGAATATATTTAAGAGGAATGTATTATTATGGAATAAGTCAGTGATGTCATTCCAAGGGTCAGGAGAGAAGCATATGAGACATTTTTGGGGTGGTTTCACACTGCCTGCCCCGTGCTGAAACTGTTGGGCTGCTCCCTGTCTGTTCCCTCAGTAAAATCCAAGGAAAATCCTTCTCCACAGGGCCAGGAGTTCATGTGCCACCACCTCAAGTGATTTTTCCATTCTATTTTCTCTATCAAAAAGCTGAAAATAACAGCCAGGACCCCTAAAAACAGATAATATTTATGCCTTGGTACCAGCCACAGGAGCTTCCCTGAGAAATGCTGACCAAACTCTCCAGGAGATCACCAAACCTGTTCCAAGACACACTTAAAGTGAAGGGATCACCAGGATGAAAAGCCAGGTGAAAGATGAGATGATCCCCACAGACAGCCTGGATTGCCCCAGAGCTTCCATAGATTTGTCCTCAATTTTTTAACACAGCCCTTGGTCTTTTTCTTTTCTGAATATTCCACGTTTTTCTCCCTTAAATTACAGCTTAAACCTGCTGCAAAGAGACTTTCAGGAGCAAAGGAGCATGATGTAGTTTAGGTAAGATAACATCAGCTCTGGGAGAGAGGAATTTCTGCCTCTTCCAGATGAATCTTGGCGGATGCCAGGGGTGAGGACATGGCCAAAATTAGAATTTCTGTCACATGATATTAAAAAAAATCTACCTGGACGCCTTCCCTGGCACTGCTGAGCCCTGTCCTGGTGTTTCACTGCTCATTCCTGCCCATCCTGTGCCATGAGGTTTGTGGGGTTCCTCTGGAAAATCATCATGTAGCCCTCAGGACTCGTTGGGAAAAATCCCTTGGACATCTCTTTAGTTTCTAATTCTAATTCTTTTGTTTTTTTGGATCAATAGTTTTGATTGCTCTTGGTCTTTGTCCCCTTAAAACAGCAAAATATTCACAGTTTATTTATTTATTCTGTACTCTGAATAATTGATGTCATTTTCTCAGTAATTTTATGCTGGCTGCTGGAGTCTTTCTTGCCTGTTTGCTTTTATCTTCCTCACACTGAACTGCCTGAAATGGAATGTGGAAAGCCAGACTGAATAGACTCAGTTGTTTGCATGGTGAAAGGAATGAAATGTACATAATTAATCATGTCCTGCCTTGTTAAACCAAATATTGGGCACAATTAGAGCCTCCAGAGCAGCTGTGAACTAATTTTTGTGTGCACTGTGGTGCTCCCTGCCTTGTGCACTGGCTGCAGATTTTCTCCTGAGAGCAGAAAACCAAGAAATTCCTACAATAATTCTGATTTTTATTGGCTTTGGTGGCTCTTTGAAAGATAGGGCTGGTTTTGATGTCACCATGAAAGGCCAGACCTGGGTGTTTGAGGGATTATTTCAGTTTTATTGGTTTCATGAATCCTTTTTGAGGGAAGGGAGGCTGGGGAATGGTCTGGAATGACAGGCTGGAGCTGGTTTTACAGTCTGCCATGGCATGAAAGGTGTTTTATGGTGGGTGAGTGACTCCAGCCAGTGTCTGCTCCTCATTTGGGTCAATAATTACTCATTTTTCTTCTGAGTCACCGCTCCTGTTGTGTCCAGCCAAGGGGAAGGTGAGGCTGTTTTATCATCGGCACAGAATTAATGAAGGGGCTGGATCCTCTCGTCCCTCTAATGAAAACTGGGCTGGAGCATCCCTCACTGCAGGGCCCGTTCTGCAGAGAGGAACCTCCTTGGAGTGACTGAGCTTGCACTGCCCCGTTCCAGCTTGGAATGGAAAGGGTTTATCATGGGGCTGCTCCATGCAGGACAGCTTATTCCACTTTTCTCAGCTCTTTTCATTTTCCAGCATGTGATCGTGGCGCAGGGATAGCAATTCTATTTTTACCAATTAGACCTTTTAAATTTTTTATTTAATTTTGTTTTTAATTTTATTTTTTAAATTTTATTTTCATTTTATTCCTGAGCAGCAGAACACCTTGCCAGACCTTTTCTACATTAACATTAAGCACAGCTATTGAAGAATATGACTAAGTGATTATGGCATGTGATTATGGCACAGGGATAGCAATTCTACCTCTTTCACCTACTGGACCTTTTGAAATTTTATTTTAAAAATTTTTAAATTTTATTTTTATTTTATTCCTGAGCAGCAGAACACCTTGTCAGACTTTTTATACATTAACATTAAGCACAGATATTGAAGAATATGATTACGTGATTATCGCATGTGATTATGGCACAGGGATAGCAATTCTACCTCTTTCACCTATTAGACTTTTTAAAATTTTATTTTAAATTTTTTTAAAAAAAAATTTTTATTTTATTCCTCAACAGCAGAACACCTTGCCAGACTATTTCTATATTAACATTAAGCACAGATATTGAAGAATATGATAATGTGATTATGGCACAGGGATAGGTATTGAAGAATATGGTTATGTGATTATGGCATGTGATTATGGGACAGGGATAGCAATTCTACCTCTTTCACCTACTGGACCTTTTAAAATTTTATTTTAAAAATTTTTAAATTTTATTTTTATTTTATTCCTGAGCAGCAGAACACCTTGTCAGACTTTTTCTACATTAACATTAAACACAGATATTGAAGAATATGATTACGTGATTATCGCATGTGATTATGGCACAGGGATAGCAATTCCACCTCTTTCACCTATTAGACCTTTTTTAAATTTTAGTTTTTAAATTCTTTTTTTTTTAAATTTTATTTTTATTTTATTCCTCAGCAGCAGAACACCTTGCCAGACTCTTTTCTATATTAACATTAAGCACCAGGTATTGAAGAAAAGTCTGACAGAAACCTGCTGCACTTCAGAGATTTGTCCCAGTGCCAGCCTGCAGGTGGATGGAGGATTTTCCTCTTGGTGCTTGTTGGATCTTGCCTGGCAGCTTTAAATCTGGAGGTTTTTGGAATGTGATGAGCACAGAAACAGCGCTGCTGTCAAACCAGCAGGGACAGGGGAAAGGTGCTTGCTACAGAACGCATAAAGAAATTAAAAATATTCTGTGAATTCACAAGTTAGATGGGGTTTCTGCAGACAGAAATGGCATTTTTATAGTGACTGAGATATATGGAGCTGTGACATATCCAGCATAGCTTGTATTTGCAGCAGAGCTTTGTTTTGGCACCATTTTGTGATAATTTTCTTCTAAAATAATGATAATGGATTTGTAAGTTAGGATGGTAGTGCAATATCACCATTCCTTTTATTCCATTTAAATTATATTTATATTAATAAGTGTATTTCTATTTATAATTTTTATATAATTTATCTATGTTTATATTTATTTTATTTTCATTTATTTTATTTTATTTGTTTTTATTTTTATTACTGTCAATTATGCTTCAGCTGAGTAATCTTTCTCTTGGGATGATGTAAGAAGCAAATTTTCAAAAGAGATGTGTGCGCCACCAGGCACAAGGAAAGCTGACATCATTTTGCTGTTCCAATTTCACTTTAAAATATTTTTCTATGTTTGGTCTGAATTTTAGCAATCTATTTAGGTTTTTTTTTCCTGAAATTAAAGCTCAGTTAGTTAAGATCCTGAAATATCAAGAATTATATTAATAATTTATCTGTCTCCAAAGCAAATTTTCTGGAGTGTAATGGTGAAAATATAAATATCCAGTACTAAGATTCCATTTCCACAGTTTTTGGTTTGGTATTTTTTTCCTTCTTTTTCTTAATAAGCATCTTAAATTGCATTTAGCTGTGGTTGTTTTTAGATCTTATCCTCATAAACTGAATATAGGCATAGAAACACAGCCCTGCAAACACACAAATGTAAAGATGATTTAAATATTTTTAAAAAATGATGATTACCACAATTTTTGTACCATTTGAGTGCTAAAAATCAGGGTTTTGGTGCTGGACTGACCTGGTGGAAGGGGTGTGAGGAGCAATACATCTGCTGCACCTGGGGCTGGTAGCAATACAGGCCAGGCTGCCCTTCCAGCGGGGATGTCCTGAGCTTCAGGTCTGAATCCTGCTGCAAAACAGCCAAAAAAATGAGTAATTAGAGAAAACAGCTGAAGTTAAAACAGGATAATTAGTCAGTGTGAATGTTTGACTTTGTTACATTGAGTTTTTGGGGTTTTGCTGTGTTTTGGTAAGGGTTAACAGAGTTGGTTTGTGTTTTAGCGGTGCAAATTTGGGGTTGGCCGTCCCTGGGGTGGCCAGGGCCAGGGTGGGACAGTGAGAGATGTCCCTGCCACAGGAGAGGTGACACTGGAGCGCCTTCAGGGTCCCTTCCTACCCAAACCACCCCGTGATTCCATGAAGAAACGAACCAATTCCTGCATTTCCATAATTGCAGCCTGAAAAAAGGAAATCCCGGCCCACATTCCGTGCAGAGAGCAATTCAGAAATCATCAAGATCTGTTTATATTCTTATATTTTTTTCCCTCCCTGCACACACAAACCACACACTCCAGCTTTCACTCCTGAGTGTGCACAAGTGTCTCCCTCGTTTTTTCATTCTCCCTGGTTTTATCTTTAGGCTGGCAGTGCCTCTGGAATTTTGGCAGGTCTGTAATGTTCAGGAAAGAGGTGGCAGAGAAAAACCGCACTGGGCTGGCTGCTGGGTTCAACCAAGATGCAGGAAATATGTAAAAAATGGAGGAATTCAGTGAGAAACTTTTTCCAAGAATCCAACAGCACTTATCCTTCTGCTTTAAAGCATGGCCAGCTTTTATGGCATTTTAATCTAAAAATATCAATAAATAAACACATATACACATGATTTCTTATATATATGTTATATATCATGCATGTGTATCTAATATATATAAAATATATATCTAGTATATATATATATATAAAATGAGCACCCATTGGTTTGACCACAGCATCCCAGAATTCCCACTTCTTCCTGGTGAAACCAGCACAATCTAGTATATCTTATAAATATAAAAAATATTCAGTATTTTTATGCTATATTATTAGAAGCACAAATTAGGCTTGGTTTGACATCCACTACCAATAAACATCAGTGTTATCTTGGTGATATGAAGATGAAGATTTTGAGAAATTCCAGATTTCCAGCAGCATGGAAATGATTTAAAAGTGGGAAGTTGGGTGCTGGCAAGACCCAACAGGTAGTAGCTACACCTGCTTGTAAAGGGCTCCTGCACTGCTGCCTTTGCATCCTGCAGGGATTTGGGAAGAAAATGGGAATTTTTTTTTTCATCAGCTGCTCATAGGTTTTGCAGCACTGAACTCCCCTGACCTAGATGAGTGTTTATCCAGGAAATAAGAGATTTAGATCAATTTCCTCCTTAACCTGGATGGCTTCAATCCCCAGGTATGTTCCATGACAACATCTCTCCATTCTCCTGGTCTTAATCCAATTAATACTTTTTTTTTTTTTTAAACTCCTCTTCCATTTGTAGCTCTGAATTCCTCCTGTCCCAGCCATTCAGAACCAGCTCAGGGCTCTCCTCTGGCAGGTGGAATTGTTCTTTTTGGCCGCAGGAGATGATCAAGATGCACTTTACACCTTGGATCACAGCAGAGATCTTGTGGAGACACTGGAGGGGAATTTAATTTGCTTTTCAGGGATCTCTGCTGGCCTAAATAGGCAGCTGCCTCCATCTGGTATTGAAATCAGCCCAGGTAATTTTGCACTGCACATATAAACAGAGCTGATATTTATTTTTTGATGTCTTGGAGTTTTCTCTTCTATTTGCACTGAGAAAAGTGCAGGCGAGCTGTTGGACCAAATCTGCTCCACATCCTCATGCTTGAAAATTTTGTTTTGTGAGCTTTTGTTTGTAGAAAACCCCAGCTGATGACAAATTTGGACATTTATGATTCATGTACCCTGTCTGATGGAAAATCATTTGTCCTTGTGCCTCTTTCTGAGGATTGTTTGAGGAAAAGACCAGAAAATAGAGAACAAATAAACATGGATATATCTAAATCTGCTTTCCCTGAGCTCTGGCCTGTGTCTTGACAGACTGATAAACATTTAGGATTCATATACCCTGTCTGATGGAAAATTTGTCCTTGTGCATCTTTCTGAGGATTGTTTGATGAAAAGACCAGAAAAGAGAAAATTTGGAGAAATAAACATGGATATGTCTAAATTTGCTTTCCCTGAGCTCTAACCTGTATCCTGACAGAGTGATAAACATCTAGGATTCAGGTACCCTTTCTTATGGAAAATCACTTGTTCTTGTACCTCTTTCTGAGGATTCTTTGAGGAAAAGACTAGAAAATAGAAAATGTGGACAAATAAACATGGATATACCCAAATCTCTTTCCCTGAGCTCTAGCTTGACAGAGCAATAAACATCTAGGATTCATGTACCGCCTCTGATGGAAAATCATTTGTCCTTGTGCATCTTTCTGAGGATTGTTTGAGGAAAAGACCAGAAAATAGAGAACTTGGACAAATAAACATGGATACTTCTAAATCTGCTTTCCCTGAGCTCTAGCTTGACAGAGCGATAAACACCAATACAGCCACTACAACAAGAAAATCCTCCCAACAAGAAAATCCTTCCAAAAGCCCATTTTTACCACTGAAAACAGCCCAAACAACACCAAAACCCCACTGACCATGACCTGGGCGCCGTGCTCCTGCCCCGTGGAGCTGTACTGGAGGCTGCTACACCACGGCTGCTCTGCAGAAATATTTGGGATGTGGGTGGGAAAAGCCTCCGGCTCCTCAGCAGACCCCGGCAGACCCTCAAAGCCATCGATGCTCCTGTGATTCTTGAAGGGAGAAGCTTCTGGAGGCAGGGCCTGGTGGGATTCCTGGAAAACATCCTCGCTGATCTGCCTCTTGTAAGGGTGGAAGGGGCTCCTGGTGCTCTTGAGGAAGCGCTCGTAGCTGCCGGCTGCGTTCTCCTCGTAGCTGCAGCGCCGGAATCGCTCGGTGCCGAAGGATGCCCTGAACTTGTTGGTGCCACAGGGGATTCCTTGGGTGCCAGGGAAGCCTCCCGGGATGGGGTCCTGGCATGGGGAGGCAGGGCTGGGGCTGGGAGAGGATTCTGAGCTCGTTCTCTCTGTCCGGGTGTCCGGCTCATAGGGCGGGCAGCTGTAGCTGGGGTTATCCTGTGATGGGATATTGATATTGATTTATTTAAGGTCAGGATTGAAGTTTCAGCAAATGTTTTATTATTTTCATTGTCTGAGTTATTTTATTATTGTCTAGGTTATTTTCATTGTCTAAGTTATTTTATTATTGATTTATCCCCTATGGGGGAAAAATCAATATTATTGATTTATCCCTGTGGGGGATAAATCCCAAGGCTACAACCCCAGTGCTGCTCTCTCTTATTATCTAAGTTATTTTCATTGTGTAAGTTATTTTATTATTTTCATTGTCTTATTTATTTATAGAAATTTTAAAATATAACATTTATATTTTATTTACATTATTTTTTTACATTAAAATATAAATGCAATATGCGATTGAATATTAACACTTAATTATTTAAGGTCAGGATTGAAGTTTGAGCAAATATTTCATTATTTTCATTGTCTAAGTTATTTATTTATAGAAACTTTTAAATATAACATTAGTATTTTTATCACATTAAAAGCTGCAATGGAATAATGACATTTATTTAAGGTTAGGATTGAAGTTTGAGAAAATATTTCATCATTTTCATTATCTAAGTTATTTATTTATAGACATTTTTAAAAGATAAAATTTATATTTTAATGCAATTAAAATATAAATGTAATACATGATATAATATTGACATTAGTTTTTTAAGGTTAATATTTAAGTTTGAGCAAATATTTCATTATTTTCCTTGTCTAAGTTATTTATTTACAGAAATATTAAAATACAAAATTTATATTTTAATTACATTAAAAGCTGTGATGGAATGTTAGTATTTATTTATTTAAGTTTGAGCAAATATTTTATTATTTTCATTATCTAAGTTACTTATTTATAGACATTTTAAAATATAAAATTTATATTTTAATTGCAATAAAAGCTGCGATGGAATATTGATATTTATTAATTTAAGGTTAGTATTTAAGTTTGAGCAAATATTTTATTATTTTCTTTTCTAAGTTATTTATAGAAAATTTCAAATATAAAATTTCTATTTTAATTACATTATAATGCATTTTTAGTGGTAAATATGAAATGACCAGTTCTAACCACCTTCATGCAGAGAAGCCTTGAAAAGATCTCAAGCGTTTTCTGTTTGCTTAGTATCCAAAACTATTCAGCAATTAATTAATAAAAGCAAGGCCAGGTTGGATTGGTCTTGGAGGAACCTGGAGCAGGATGATCTTTAAGTCCCTTCTGACCCAAAGCACTCAGAAAACAGAACTGCCCTTGGAAAAAACAAGGACACCTTGACTCTGCTCTGCCCATTTCAGGGAAAAGCTGAGGAAGGTCAGGTGATGAAAGATTAAATGACAGGAATGTGATAAGTGCAAGCCCTGTCGCCTGCAAGTTTAGTCAAATCAGCTTGATCTCATCCCTGCTGGGCTTCCAGGCTCCAGAAATGTGGGTGCTTGCATCACTTCCCTTCATTAAGGTGGCCACACTCATCTGGAGACCCAGGACAGGCTCAGGGCAGACACCCCAACCCTCCTGTGTCATCTCCTCCCTCCCTTGTGCTCTCCAGCAAAGAGAAACCACTCAGGAGCTCTTTAATCTGGAGCAGGGCTGCAGTCTGGGTCCTGCCACTGGAAATATGCATATAATGAAAGTATTTCCCTGACATCAGGGGTGAGTAATAAGTGGGGAGCCTTTGAGAGGACACACATCAGGCTGGAGCAGGGCGCTGGGCTCAGGGATGGGAGAATGTCCTGTGCTCCTCAAAAAAGGCAAAGACCAGGTTACTGAGTGCTCCCTTCCCTCTCCAAAACTGAGAAATTAGTTATTGAGTGGTCCCTTCCCTCTCCAAATCCAAGAAATCCCACAAGGAAAATCAGGATAAACCCAGTTCTTTCTGCAGGGGAACACAGCCCAGCTTTCCCACTCATTTTAAGGGATGGAACAGAACATTCAGCTGGAGATTAGGATTAAAATATGGATATAATGAAAATATGCACATTTCCCTGACATCAGGGATGAGTAATTAGTGGGAAGCCTTTGAGAGGACACACATCAGGCTGGAGCAGGGTGGTGGGCTCAGGGATGGGAGAATGTCCTGTGCTCCTCAAAAAGGCACACCATGTTATTGAGTGCTCTCCGAATCCAAGAAATCCCACAAGGAAAATCAGGATAAACCCAGTTCTTTCTGCTGGAGAACACAGCCCAGCTTTCCCACTCATTTTAAGGACTGGAACAGAACATTCAGCTGGAGTTTAGCTGAGCAGGATAACTCGGGTTTCCACCCTTCAGGAATAAAACCTCCAGTGTTTGCTCTGTCACCGGTAGGTTTGGTGAGATCCAGCAAGAGCTGAATGTTTATTTTGATCTTTAAAGGAAGAGAACAGGCCTGGGCCAGTTTTACTCACACTCTGCTGAACTGGGGATATTGAATCCCCCTGTGCCTTCATCAGGTCCTGCTGGTCCCTTTCCAGAGTGTCCGAGGCAGAAAATTTAATATTGGACTGGTCCTGAAGTAATGAAACCATCACCAAACCCACGGCACAAATCCTGTCAGGGCAAAAATCAAATTACAATTAGCACTTTTTCAAACTTGAACTGTGAAACAAAGCCCTTGTTTGGTGCAGGTGATGGAACAGGCTGGGGTGTGCAGCTGGAGCCATCCTGAGGAATTCCTGACACTGGAATTAATTTTTAGCTCTTAAAGAAATGTTCTGTAGATGAAATTCCAATGAAAACATGGTATGGGGTTTCTATGGACTCACCACATAATTTTTATAAAAATAAGCACTTTGTTTTCTGTAGGATCATAAATTAATAAAAATGTATTGTTTTGGGGTTATGCAAATTTAGCAACGTCACTTTATTGAGAAATTTGGATATAAATGTACCCCAGCTGTTTTCAGAAGGACTATATTAAAAAAAAAAAGAATATTTTTCTATCTTTACTCAGACTGATGATTACAACACACTTATATTTTCACTTTTGTTTTTTATTAGCCCCAATCCCTTCAGCCTTTCTGTTCTGTTTTGCATGACTTAAACGTATCTGAGATATGTAAATGACTTCATCATTCCATCCCTGTTTTTGTTAGCTGGATCTCCTCTCAAGTTCCCCATCTTTGATCTTTGGATATAGGAGCCATATCTGATGGTGTTCTTTGGATTAAAAGGAATAAATTTAATCTTCTGGTCTTTTGTTTTCCTTGTTGACTGTAACCTTAGAGTAAAACAAAAGTAGAACATGCATCCTTTTATGTCATGCACCAAGTTTGAACACTACATGAAGGTGTTCATGCTCATAATTTCAATTTCAGGTGAACAAATCAGGGGGAAAAAAGCCACTTTAATCCAAGAGTTAATCTGCCAGCTCTTTGCCACGTGTTGAAATAGCTGTTAGGTAAATATCTAAGGGCTTTGTTAGGTTTGCTTAACAAAGACATATCACCTAAAAACGTGGAAACCTTTTTTTGCCTTTCTAGTTCAAAGAGAAATCTGTATTTATGATGAGTAAAACTGCATTGCCCGGGGCGATGGAGCACAATGGGGCTTGGAAATCAAGCAGGAGACCTGTAGCAGTACATCAGGGGAAAAAAATGATGTGAGAGAGAGTTCAGAAATGCCTCAGCTCTTCTCCCAGTGGCTTAACCGGAGGCTGATGAGGAGAGAGATTCCTCATCTTGAAAGGGACAGGTGGGAAAAACGTCAGCTAGATAAGATATGAGAGTCTATTTGTAATTTGTGAGTGCCTATTTGTAATTTGTGAGTGCCTATTTGCAATTTGTGAGCGCTCCACACTGGCTGCCCTCCCAGTGCTGCTTCCCCACTTATCTTCAGGTTACACAAAGCTGTCTCTGACCTCTCCTTTATACTGCAATTTTTCAGCCCAGCTGCCTCATTTGTGGTCTGGAGCATTAGAGTTTTAATAAAAAGCTTCTGCACAGGTACAGTTTGTGCCTGGTGGCTTCTGCGTTGTGAGAGAATTTTCACAAATCCTTTTTGAAAGCAAAGTGAATTTGTCAGGGTTGTTTGGAAAATAAAAACAAAAGACCCAGGAAAACCAAATAATTCTGAGACCTTTGCCAGGTTCTGTTGATAAATTGCATTTTGGTAGGAAAGGAGGAGTCTTAGGCACATTTTAGACTATAAAAACATCCCCCTGTGTAGAGAAACTGTTTTCTTTTTTTAAATGAGAAGCAGCCATAGGGAAGGTATTTTTCTTTTTTTGCTGTTAAATGAGAAGCATTTATACTTAAACAGTGTTGGGCTGATAATCTGTGTTCAGTGGAGATTATGGAATGCCTTTGTCAAGAATCCACCCTGGGGATCTCCCAAATGGGGATAAATCCCAAGGCTGCAATCCCAGTGCTGCTCTCAGTTTTTGCACTGGCACCAGCAGCTCAGTAAGAGCTGCAGCTCCAGGTTCTGCTCATCCTAGAATATTGTGGAAATGTCTTTTTGTGAGAGAAAAACCCCTGGTCATGTATTTCTGATTTTCATTTTATTCTTGGAGTCCAAACTTCTCTTCAAAAGCCATTTGCAACTTCAGCCTGCTGATGTGTCTCACAGCAAATGCAGATCAGTTTAAACTGCCAAATCAACAGGCTGAAAAATCTTTCTGCTGTCACTGTTCATTAAATCATTTTTAATGTCCCTTAGAGACACTCTATTTTGTTAAAAGAACATACAACAAAAAACCAACCAACAAACCAAAACCCACAAAAAAACAACAACAAAAAAACCCCAAACCAAAACAAAAACCAACTCAAAACCACTTTGCATTGTTAACATGGATTTTAGCAAAGAGAAATCACAACACTCACTGACAAATCTTCTTAAGGAGCAGAAATTACAGCCAGGGGAGGTTGCCAATAATCAGGATTACAATAAATCATTTGCAACAAGCAGTTCCTGGGAGACAGAGCTTAAGGAAGTTGTGGGTTGCCTGGATGTAGGATGTGCTAAAGCAAACAATGATGCTTTGATTTGGAGAGAGGTATCTGATTATCCCAGCTGCAGCTGGAACCATCTCATGTCACTTTGACTGCTGCAAATGTGGCGTGACCACGCAGGCTCCTGTGATAAGATAACTACCTGGAAAATCAGAAAAGAGTGAGAAAGTGTAACCTCAGCTGGGTGTTGGGGTAAGCAGGGCAGCAGCAGCTGATCTATCAGCTCTGCATGACTGAGCCCCGTGGCAGCAATCCCTGGCTGGAACAGCCCCTGGGTTTGTGTCTCCTGCAGCCTCCTGAGCTCTGTGGATGCTGCTGGAGTGCCCCGTGCAGCCCCTAGGGCTGGGATTGCTCTCACAAGGGGTGTTTGGGTGTTCCCCAGCTCCCAATCCATCCTCTGTGCCTGCTCACTGAGCTGGGCTTGACACCAGCTTGTGTGAGCTGCTCACATCTCTGCCCAGAACCAAAAATCACCATTTTCCTCTCCACATCTGATGGTTCCCAAATAACTCTGTGGATGCTTCTGGCAGTGCCCTGTGCAGCCCCTGGAGCTGGGATTGCTCTCACAAGAGGGGTTTGGGTGTTCCTCAGCTCCCAATCCATCCTCTGTGCCTGCTCACTGAGCTGGGCTTGACACCAGCTTGTGTGAGCTGCTCACATCTCAACCCTAAATCACCATTTTCCTCTCCACATCTGATGGTTCCCAAATAGTTCTGTGGAATCTTTTTCCCCTCAAGACTTCATGAAAAAAAGGTTTCAGAATTCCATTTTTCCTCTTACACTTAAAAATCCATCACATGCCAGTCAATGATGCTGCGTGCCAAATATCTCAGAAGTGCCCAGAATGTTGTGACTAACACTTGTCACAGAGACAGGAAATCTCTACACATAATTAATTATGGAAAACAGTCAGAAAAGGGATTTGTTAATAAGAATCAGCATTTTTTTGAAAGGCTTTTAACGAATTCAAGATTTTCCAAGTTGATGCTGGAGGCTGTGCTGGCTCATCAGAGCTGTCACTGCTCTGTTGATCCCTGACATTCCTGTCACTGAGCCTTGCCCTCGTTTTAGGAGACATTTTCAGGAACAGGATTGGAACCTGCACAGCCCAGCACTAAACTCTGGTTTGGCCACATGAATTCCTCATTGCTTCCTTGCTGCTCTTTACAGGATGTGTAGCACCTTGATTACAGGATACTTGAATAACTTTACAGAGTTTCTAAGGACTGTAATTTCTTTTCTTCTGGATTTAAATCCGCCTGTGAAATTGTTTAATTTAACTGTGCTGGTTTTGCTTTCTTATTCAAGGGTTCTGAGCTCAATTCTCTCACAGTTAGCTGTGATTGCTGCCCATAATACATTACCTCTGGATATTTAGATATTTGTTTACCTTTTGCACATTTAGGGAAAAATAAGGTTAATGTGACAAACTCAAGGATGAGTGAAGAAAATTTGCAATTATAAAACCCTTTCTGCATCCAGTGACATGGGACGTGTTTGCTGCCAGCTAAGTAGCAAAGTACTGAATTCCTGTAAGAGAAGGATTTTTAATTAAATCATTCCATTTTTAATTAAATCATTCCTGAACTATCAGGGTTTGCTCATTAAGGGCTACCTGTGGGCAAGGCTGAATACCAGGTGAGCACAGTGGACTAATTGCCACCATGTCCAGGTGTGCTGTCCAGCAGGAGGGGTTGGGAGCTCTGGAACATCCAGGTGCCTCCTGGCTGAGGTGGGGAGAGTGCTTGCAGCAGGATTTAATCTGCTCTAGGAACACATTTATAAAAAAATATCAACTCACTGTGAAAATAAACCCTCAAAAGGCATTTATCCCAAATCTATTTTATGGGAAAAACCCCACGTTTTTAGAGGCAGAAGCAGGATTTTTAATTTATTTTCTTTTTTTCAGAAAATATCCAGGTGATGTTTCAGCGTGGTCCGGGCTCCCATCTTTACATCAGCCTTTTGGTTTTTATTCTTTACTTATATTTTATCCTGCATCTTTTACTTCTGACATCAACAGTGAGGACAGTCTGTCCCTGCAGAGAACTTTGTGAATTATTACATTTTTCTTATTTTCCCACTGTTTTTCCTGGATAAAACATAGTAATTTCTCATTCTGAAGCCATTCCACACCTTAGATTATACTACAATCCTTTCCTGAAGGATTTCTAGTTCTGCTGACACCTTTTTGGGGTGGAAATGCAAAACCAGTTGTGGTGTTTAAGATGTAGGCACACTCTGGTTGTTGCTCTCCAGGCATACAGAAATTCCCTCAAAACAGAGAAAAGCAGATTATAGGGCTTTTTCTCAGCTTCATTGCAGGTCCTGTTTGTTCTGGGAATGGATTTTACCTCTAGTTCTGAAGTATTAATTTATGCAGAAGTGGAAATCCTGACAAAAATTCACAGTATGGCTGAAATAACACTGCAAGGACTTCCCTGTTTCTTGTAGACTGGGCAGACTCATCATCTATGAAGTTATAAATAGAGAAAAAGTCCCTGACAGGTGCTGAACTTGCATAATTAACCCAGCAAAGAGGGAGCTCAGCACTGAACAGAAACCAAGCATGGAAA